ATATTTGATTTGAATTAAGCCGGAAAATGGATGCTTCTTGAGAGTTATGTAAAAAGAATACCTTAGTATTTCAAAAAAGGAAGAAGAAATTAACGAACACTGTAAAAAGATGTCCATTGATTTCAAAATTATATTGATATTTAAACATACTTACATGTGGATAATGACACTCTGAAAAGAAAGAAGACTATTGAAAGGACCAAGACACCGAAAATAACTATTTCTCGTTTGATATTCGTTCATTATCTCAATTATAATGTACACACTAGTTTAAGGTTCTAACCATAACTTACCTTAGCTTTATTTATCTATTAGTAGAATACTACGTCATCGCGCACCTGCAAAATTTTACCAATTGGACTGCTTTTACAACAAAGGAAAACAAACAAAAACAACAAAAACAAACACTTAAAATACTATTTGGAGCAATTTGCAGGTACGCGATGACGTATTATCATACCTTTTATTTCAACAAATTGGAAATATTTATATAACAGTCAGCTAAATTTGCAAAGAAATATTCTTTGAAGATTTCTATTTCACTTTACAACAGCGGGTGACATTACACTGAAGTACCACTTGGCATGAATAAATTGGATTTAATTACATAAGTATTATTTTAAAAATTGAAGTGATAAGATATGTGTTATCCTTTAAGAAATGAACGTACACATCTTACAACACATACCAAAGTGCCTAAATAGCTAAAAAAAATTATGTACTTTTAATTAGTTTAATCTGTTTCCCAGCATGTCTTATTCAGCAAATGATAAACATATCTCGATTACGTTAGATATACCAACAAGGTAATTTATCACAATGTAGGGCCAGCTCCTTTTGTTAGAGGTTTTTTAAGAATGTTGGTATCAACGGTTCGGAAATGGGATATGCGCTTCAGAATCGAGAATCGAGGTTTTAAACGTACATGTATAATGACAACTTATCATGTGTTAATTGATTCACTTCACAAAAAGGTAAACAGGTAAACGATACACATCGATATACTAACATCATTTGCTGAAAATTTACATTCTTAATTACTTCATCATAAGGAATACTCTTAAATTAACTATTTCGAAGTGATATTACAAATGTATTAAACTAGTTGATTTATCAAATATACATTAATGTTCAAAATAAAGTATCCTGGCATTGTGTTTAAAGATTTTTAGCTTATTAGAGGGAAAACAGAAATAAAACAAAATTGATTTTTTTTTAACCAATTGAGTAAGTTCGCATGAAAAACGATAATTTGTTTTACATTCCTTGTTTCTTTATTTGGAAGTCCGATGACTTGGTAGTGTACAATATTTATAACCGACAATCTTTTGTAGAACTTTGCAAACTTCCATAAGAATAAGGTCAATAGAGAAGACAGGCATAAATAAGACAAGGATTGCTGTTTTGAATGTAGCATTAGATACACTAATGTTCTTATCTTTAGTCGTACACACGACTTGCAAATATCCTATTGTAAGTAAATGTGAATACATGTTCATGACTTGAGAGATCTCTCTGTAAACAGTTTACAAATTTATCTAATAATAATAATTATTTTCAATTGAAATGTATGAGTTTTAAGTAACTTGCTACAAATCAATGTCATTGTCAGTATATCCACATTTGATTTTCATCAAAGTCCAGTTTACTTTTTCATGTTGATAAAAAGACATTTTTTTAAAGAACGAGTTTGCATAATACTTATAACTCACTACTAATGAGTCCAATGTTTAAACCAAGATTTCCGATTGATGTTTGAACACATTGCCGTGTGAAATCAGACGGAAATTATCTTACAATTCCTCTTAGGTATAATAAACCATAGAAACGAATTCATCTCAACTGAAAGTTTCTCAGACAATTAAGTCTTGATATGAAATTACTTTCGACAGTGTCTGCTTAAAATGAAATAAAAGTTGGTTGTAACAAGGACATAAGATAAAATTGGAGGAATCTTCTCGAAAATCCTGTGTTGGGATAGTGGAAACCACCAACAACAACAATAACGAAAACAACCTTTTTACAGTGTACATAATGTTTAATTAAACATTTTTTTGCGTTGGATAAGTAATTTTTTGTCACAATTCATTGCTATTTACAGTTGTATTTGGAAACGTCTTTTAAAAGTACTTTTTAGATTGCAGATGATGCAGGTAGCTGTATAACCAAGTTGAAATTTATTTATTAACTTGAATATATAATTCAATTCGTGAAAGATAAAATTCTCAAGTTTCAATTAATTGTCATTTCTTTATTTTTATGTCATTGTTCTCTACACTATTAAGATGATTAGGATATCTGTAATGCAACGTATCAAAGGAAGCAACACATTCGAATGCCACTTTTGTCTACAGAATCGATTATACTTTCATCAAACGATTTAAGGGTGTATCGTCCTTTAGATTATATTTTTAAAAATGATTGAAAAAAAACAACAACAAAAAAAACACAAATAAAAAACACATAAAAAACGAATGCACCTTTCAACAAAAACATATTTCTAAAAATTATAACGATATCATGCAAGTGACACTTTGTTTAAAATAATAAGATAACATACTCAAAATCATCTCAAGATAGCACACTGTGAGTATTTATGTTCGACTTTAATTGTGTTGGTGTGCCGTAAAGTTGAACAACCCGCCTCCACTAAAGCTGGGGGCTGCAATTGCTGCAGTAATTCGAGCTTATTTAGTCGCTCTTACGATCACACAGGAATAAACGACGATCACAATTCCGATGTCTCATCCCAACCCTTAAAAGCAATACGTAAACCACAAGGGGACACTTTCCAATGCAGCAAAGGGGTTAAAATAAAAATTAAAATGCTCTTAATTTGCATTACAGCTTCGTAAAAAAATATTATAAAAAAATACAATTTTAATCTCAAATAAAAAAATCTTTAACCTTGACCGAAATAAAGACTTTGTTGTTGACTTGCTTATGACGGTAGGTACGTGTGTGGTTAAGATATTAACCGACAGGTAAACTATTGCAATTGCATTAGCGATGGTATCAGGTGTACACCGCTTACAACAAATTTAATTTCATTTGCAGATGTACTTTTTCTATATCTATAAATGTGCCAGAATGATGCAGTGTGTGAGTCTTAAATGACTCTTTTATCTATAAAATCATGGCGATAATAATGTGTGTAGTTACCAAATTCTATAAAAACGACATTTTGTATTTGAATAATAACACCGACAGGTAAACTATTGCAATTGCATTAGCGATGGTATCAGGTGTACACCGCTTACAACAAATTTAATTTCATTTGCAGATGTACTTTTTCTATATCTATAAATGTGCCAGAATGATGCAGTGTGTGAGTCTTAAATGACTCTTTTATCTATAAAATCATGGCGATAATAATGTGTGTAGTTACCAAATTCTATAAAAACGACATTTTGTATTTGAGTAATAACACCTGTTAAGAGTATTCAATGATTGCCAGATTCATAAAACACAATGTAGTTTAAGCATACATGATAAAAAAAACAAGAACTACGATTACCAGTGTCGACTTGTAAAGTGTAGTTTCTTATCATTTAATCTATTTTCCGTCCTTTTCTTATTTAAATGTTAATAGATCATAATGAATATTAAAAAAAAATTTTTTATAGATGATCAAGCAATGCTTAAATACTATTTCTTCATGGAAATATATATATTCCATGTTAACTATTTGCTATCGTTCATAATACATAGAGCTAGTCAAATAGAAATGTATGACGAAAGAACAAACATGTTAGCAGCAAACGTTTTGACGTTAAAAAAATCCATTGGCAAGTAAACAAACCATGGTTAAGAAAATAAATATTATCTTTGATAAATACTGTCTGTCCACCAATCATGACCGTATATATTTATTTTGGCCAAGGGCACAATTTACAGCTACATTTAAAGTTATATTCCTGGTCAAATTCATCAACACAGATTGTCAAATTAACGCCTTATTGTTATCAAATGCATTATTTAACTAGTATTGACAAAGTTTTCCAACTTAGAAACGCTCTCCGTAACATTTCTGACCATTCTAAAAAATGCATTTTCTTATTTGACTGGGTTAGTCAAATAAGATTTATATTTTGGCGGGAAGCCCTTCGATTATTTCCGTAAATGTTCGGATCTGAGTCACGTGATATGATTTACCAAACCAAAATAATGGCGGACAATACGAAAGGTGTGTCACGTATACGAGCACAGGAACCTGAAATTCTATCCAAAACAAAAAAATAACGATTTAAAAAAAAATCCCATACATATACTATAAAAAAACACAAGGAAGGCAACAACATTTCCCCACCCACCGCCACATTTACCAGGGATATTCGTAAAAACGCCTGGAACTTACTTCCGAGCACACTAAATCAATAAAGCACATTAAAATCTACCAGAAACACAACTTACTCTTATCAACTATCCAACTTTTACGCCAATTGAATGAATTTATCACTGCTCTTCTCTAATCGTCGGTTCCATTGCCAGTTCAAGCGATAAACTCCATCATACCGTTATTGACCGGTTTTGAAGATCCCGAAATTCTATCCAAAAAAATAAAAAAACGATTTAAGTAAAAATCCCATATATATAAAAGTAGTATTTAATATGGGATTTTTATTTAAATCGTTCTCTTTTTTTGTTTTGGGTAGAATTTCGGGATCTACAAAGACCGGCCAATAACGGTATGACGGAGTTTATCGCTTGAACTGGCAATGGAACCGACGATTAGAGAAGAGCAGTGATATATTCATTCAATTGGCATAAAAGTTGGATAGTTGTTAAGAGTAAGTTGTGTTTCTGGTAGATTTTAATGTGCTTTATTGATTTAGTGTGCTCGGAAGTAAATTCCAGGCGTTTTTACGAATATCCCTGGTAAATGTGGCGGTGGGTGGGGAAATGGTGTTGCCTTCCTTGTGTTTTTTTATAGTATATGTATGGGATTTTTTTTAAATCGTTATTTTTTTGTTTTGGATAGAATTTCAGGTTCCTGTGATACGAGAAATAAATTTTGAGATTGGGAAAGGAAAAAGCGAAAAGTGGAAAGAAACTGTGATTTAATTCAATCAAGGATATACTCCGGTAGTGATTCAAAGCGATGAAAAGTTCTAAAAAGGGTAATTAAAACCAAAGGCGACCGTGAAGTTGTTATCTGATTGACAGGTGAGGTGATCATCGTTTTTGTTTGCATTTAAATTTTTCTTGGTCTTAGATCTACTTATAGAAAAATTTCACCTACGAATATATAAACACAGATATTGTGTTATAGTTTTTAGGATGGTTTTGACTTATGATAAAGAAATTAAGCTTGCAGATCCACGTCTGTGTATCAAGTTTTCGTTCACTGTAATTTTCGTACGGACCCATTTTCGTACCAATAAATTGTTAACAGGTTAAATAAAAGATCGGCTGAGCCTAATCCTTTACAATTTTATGGCGTATGTTCATTGTAACCATTGTAATATCGTTTAAGATGGCCAATCACTATCTTTTAAGAATCATTTAAGACACAACAAAATTATATTTTGAATAACTTTTATTTTCCAATTACATTATTCATATTGTTTTTTACTGTAAGCTGTACTGTATAGTAACTACAATGCTGTGAAATAGATTAGACACATGTGTCTCAAAAAGGGTTAGAACTATTGACTAGCAGATTAGACATTTCTTCAAAGCATGTTCAACTATCAAGGGTAGTCCTATAAATGTGACGTCCTTTGATTTTGAGATATTTTTGCTTTTGGGCAACCTTGACCGACATTTAAGCAATAACAAGCCCGTAAGTCTGATATATTGATCTACTATCCAGGCTTGTTGACTCTTCAAAGAAATAAAGTAGAAAAAATAAAATGTTGTCTGGAAAATCGCACAAAAATCAATATTGTTGTCTCATTTGAATCATTTTTGCGGTAAAATTTCAGCATTTCACAATTTGAAAAATAATCATGGACAATAACCATAATTGTGCTGGAATTGTTAGATAATTCTTATTGACAAACCTTCTTCCTTATAAGCAGTGCAGCAATTCATGTATTGTAATTGGTTTGAATAGTCAAGATTTTAGGCCATAGTACTAGTATGCTATATTTTCAATAAGAGAATTAAATCAATTTCATCGTCATCATGTGTTGCAATACCACTACCAGGGACATCAAAGATGACCTGGACTTCAGTGCATATGCAGAGGAGAGTAAGTACACCATTTTTGTCGAAAGTGACAGGTTAAAATAATACCTTTCAAAGTTGCTATATATAACTATATACTTGCATAACTAATTTACTTATATAATTCATATAAAAACTGATTAATCTTAAATACTGCTGAATTCATGTTTTTTATTAGTTTATTGAACCAAATAGTGGATATATACATGTCAACATGTGATCCATATATATCATGATCAGATATTCATATGATTTAAATATTAAACAATAATGACATTTTTTAAGTGGCATATAATACTGTATTAGAAGAAGAAAAAAAAACATGCATTACATGGTTAATTTTGGTCCAATTGAAAGATTTTGGTGTCATCTTAAATGATGAGTTTGATATTTGTATGACTCCATAATATTATTATAGATAATTGTTCACTGAGGTGAAAAAAATAATAGAGGGTCATTATAGGTCTTAAATCCACTTGTGAAAAAATATATATGAGCCGCGTCATGACAAAACCAACATAATGGTTTTGCGACCAGCATGGATCCAGACCAGCCTGCGCATCCGCGCAGTCTGATCAGGATCCATGTTGTTCGCTTACAAACCCTATATAACAAGTAGAGAAACGGATAGCGAACAGCATGGATCCTGATCAGACTGCGCGGATGCGCATGCTGGTTGCAAACGCACTATGTTGGTTTTGTCGTGACGCGGCTCATATATGGTTTTTGGAAAGGATTCTGTTATGTAGTCAATTCTCAGACCATACAACAAAATAGTTACAGATTCCTCAAAAGTGGAGTATACTTTCTTAGTTACAATCAAACATCATGAATTACTAATTTCTAGCTTTTTTTTTTCAAAGCTATTACATGTATTCTATGTCAGATTGCTATGTTGGCATACAATTGCATTATTTAAATATTTTGAAATGTATCAACATGAAACTTGAAAAACTTGCTTATCAGGACAAAGTGTAATTGTTAAACAGGGGAGCATACATGTTCTTATGAAAGCAGTCATTGAATTTAGCACTGGCCCGGTGGCCCATGGCCAGTGAAAATTAGTTTGGGCCAGTGTAAATTTTAAGAAAATGTAGTTAAATATATAGTAGAATAAATTCAAAACTGGAATTGGGGCCAGTGAATTCAAAATCTTAAATTCAATGACTGTGAAAGCAATATTTTTTTAAGTTATATTATCCCTTTTAAACTAAGAATTTTTAACAGACTGGTGTTATCACTGCATGCAATACTGCTGTATTTGTTGTTAATAACAAGGGCAGATTCATGTCCTATAGTAAAACTTGGTGAAGACTGAATATATACAATTCTTATGTAGAATATTTTTCGCTAAAATGAAAAGGAATTCCACAATTGCTTTTTTTTCTAAATCTTAAGCAAGTTATGGTTTAATCTTCAGGTAGCACTAAAGAAAGCCAATAAAATCCTTTTGGAGTGGAATTGAGACACAACAATTCATTTCTGGTTTAGTTATAAAACTGCTACAAACTATAAACTATTCATGGTAAGTAAACAATTATTATATATTTGATTTTGTTTGAATGTTTGATATTTTTATATGATTATTCTGTTGCTCAAGAAATATTTAGATAAAATTCTAGATAGCAATACATAATTGTCATTTGTTGCAAGAAAATTAATGCATGCAAGATGTTTTGATGCATAATGTGGAATACTTCATAGGTTTATGGTAAGCATTTTATATGTAAAATAAATGTGAAATTCTTAGTAATGTTTCATAAAACTTGTTGAAGGCTGACTTCTTTGCCATATTTTAATGCATGCTTATTTGTCTTGATATTTTATTTCAGGGAATAATATATTTTAGTGTCTGCATCAATCTTATAGTTATTGAGCATGAATGGATTCTGTTTTCAGATGATGGAATACACCAATGCCTAGTACAATCATGGCCCATTAGAAACCAGAACAAACCATGACTGCAAAGGAAATAAGATGCACATAGTCTGAAAGATCTGGCTGGTGTTCTGAATAAGATGACTGCAGGTATGTTCTCATCAGGTACAAAAAAAGAAATTTATATTGACAGGGTTCCCCCTGGAGCAATTTTAGTTTGCACCACCAGATTGGCCAATCAAAAAAGTTGAAGCCAATGGCTCCAATGTTGGAACCATTAATTCTGCAAAGGAGATATGTCTATCTTTGTTAAGATATGCTAGCAGTTTGGAGTGAAATTTTTAAAAGGATTTATTTTCCTAACTGGAAAGGAGTATATGTCCTGATTAATACAAAGCTCATATGTCTATTTGATTATAGAATGTTCAATGTTTACAGCACCTTTATATGTTAACGCAAATGGACCTACAACCATTATGTATAAATTAATTGGCACCTTTATTGCACTTATCAATTGAAGGATAGAGCTGTGTAAAATCTTTTCAAAGATAATTATTTACATACAGAGATTATATCTAGCATATGAATATGTTAATGTTAAAGGATTTTTCCCTACTAAAATCATTTAAATGAAAATATCTTTCCATTTTTTGTATTCATTTTTAGAAGTACAGCTGGCATGTAGGGGTTTCACCAGCACATCTTGATGTATTGTACAAAAGATTTGCTTACACACCACCTGTTTATAGGATGCACAATCTTCTTGCAGCCATAGATTATAATATACATGCAAATAGACCATACATCACCAACAAGGGGGATCTGTTAGGTATGCTACTTACAAAACTCCAACATGTAATGTTTCACAATTTTACAGAATGAAAGAAAACAGTGTCCAGTTTGTGTTAATAAAGTGAATTGTTTGGAACTATAATAATGTTCAACATAGATGTACTCTGTACTGAGTCTAATATGGATGTAGCATGTTTCTTTGTTTATTTCAATAGAAAGATTTCAGTTCTTCAAACATATAAAGAGGCAAAACCTAAATAAAATGTTGTGCTTTATCTTCTTTGGGCATATAGATTCTCAACATTTTTTTTTCATTTTTGCATATGAATATAAATGCTGCATATCTTAGTATAAAATGTTCCTGCCTCTATGAATTATAAGATATTTTTATTGAAAGTGTGATCACTATGCATTTATATTGCCTATATAATATTAATTTCAATCAAAAGAGATTTTGCAGTCTCTGAATAACCTGACTAATAAATTTTGAGGACATAATTACATGTAATGCATTTTGAGAATTGTATACACTTATGATTTTTGTTATAACAGGCTTGTTAATTTCTCATTTCAGACTTCAGCGAGTCTGGATGAATTAAAGAAGAAGAAAAAGTATCATTATACCATTTTTCATGATGCTATAGTATAACTCTGAGAATTAGTGACATGGAGGGGATATATAAAATAGAAAGTTAGAGGAAGATGACCCCCACAGACTTTCAAAATATTTGGCCCAAGTTAGCCCGAAGCCTACCCGAGCCATTCATGAGGAACATAAATCAAGATATTATTGACTTTTTATGGGAAAGAATGATAAATAGTGTTGTGTTACACTGATTGCCCAACTATTCAAACATATTTAAGCTGACATTGAACACCTGGTATTCATGATAGTTTTATGAAATATCTTTTTAGATATGGCACTGTATCTATCTTGTTTCGAAAAAAAATCTCTTGATTCATTTGTCATGACTCAAGGTCTGTTTTTAATATTTTGTCAGAAAAATGACTACTTTTTATACAAGTGCAAAATATTATCCAATCTATTAAAGTATAAGTGCTGCTATGAGCTTTAATGTAGTAACAAAGTTAAAAGTATTATTCAATTATATCTTTTGATATACATGTACTATGTCATTCACTTTAGCTCAGCTTTTCTTTTTTTTTTTTTTTTTGAAAAAAGAAATAGAGGTTGCTGCCGTTGCCTTCTGCAAACTTGAACCTTGTTCATAACTTTTAAAGTTCTTGGTGTATTGTCTAACCTTGGCCTTCTTTCATAATTGACCTTGACCTTCAAGGTTAAATGTCTAAATTTTGGCTTTGCTTGTTATTTGCTATTAGTGGCTTTAACTTTATTGCCCTTTGTTAATTTTCATATTTCATTTTTGTCTTGGCCATTTCTCCTAAACTATATTGTTCACAAGGCAACACATCCGACTCGCGGAGATCTAGTTGTTATTAGTCTATGAATTTTTTGTAGTCCAATCTAGTTTATTAGACCAATGACACAGGGGCATTTTATATAAAATCCTTGTTCAATCAAACAAGGCAAGCCTTAAAATTATCTTTGTATTTACTCCCTCATCCCATTCCAGTTTAGATAGGATAGGTGGGCTGATAAAATATTTATTTTTGTGCCCCCACTTTAGTGGCGGGCATTTAGATTTACCCTTGTCCGTCCGTCCGTATTTCACCTAGAGTCATGAAACTTTACTGTAATGTTGATCAGCAAGTGTAGTTGTTCACCTTGGTATTTTCATCTGGATATTTTTAGTATTTTCAGAGTTACTGCCATTGAATTTTTGCAATTTTCAACTTGTGTCGCATGTTACTCAAGAAGTATTTGACCTACAGCAATGAAACTTTACAGGAATGTTGAACATTATGTGTAGTTGTGCACCTAGGTATTTTCGTCTGGATTTAGTATTTTGAGAGTTATGGCCCTTGACTTAGTAAAATTTTGCAATTTTCAACTTGTGTGGCATGTAACTCAAAAAGTATTTGACTTAGAGTCATGACACTTTACAGGAATGTTGATCAGCATGTGTAGTTGCGCATCTGGGTATTTTCGTCTGGAATTATTTAGGATTTTTAGAGTAATTGCCCTTGACTTGGTAAAAATTTTGCAGTTTTCAACTTGTGTCACATGTAACTCAAAAAGGATTTGACATAGAGTCATTAAACCTTACGGGAAGGTTGCTCAGCATATTTAGTTTTGCACCTGGGGTTTGGCTTGTGGATTTATCCAGTATTTGTAGAGTTATTTCCCTTGACTTAGTAAAAAACATTTTATTATGTTGTTATTTGTTCCTTGAGTGCTTGAGTGAGAATCAACCAACTTTACAGGAATAATGATCAACATCACTAAATTACAGGAATAATGATTTACATCACTGTGAAGATATGAACCTGGGACTTTCATGTGGATTTTTTTTCAGTTTTGTTAGAGTTATTGCCCTTGACTTACAGTAGTATAAATTTACAATTTTCAACTTGTTCATGCATAGCTCAAAAAGTATTTATGTTTTCTTTCATTTCATTCAGCCAAACATAAATAATTTATCATTTAACTCCATAATTAATATCCTACAGGGATAAAATATAAATAAGAAAGACAATATAGGAGTGGCTACTACAGGTTCACTTTAATTTATCGAATAATTTACAATTTTCAACTTGTTCATGCATAGCTCAAAAAAGTATTTCACTTGTAGGCCTGAATGTTGAAAAGAATGTTGGTCAGCATGTGTACTTATGCACCTTGGGGTTAACTTGTGAATTTATTCAGTATTTGTAAAGTTCTTGCCCTTTACTTAGTAAAGTTTTCAAAAAATATTTGACCTAGAGTCATAAGATTGACAGAACAGTGGCGCGTAGGGGGGACCCGTGTCCTATGGACACATTCCTAGTTATTCAAAAATGTTTGTCTTGTTTTATTTTTCATTAAAATTATATGTAGTTCAAACAAATTGTGTGCATGAAAGCATCTGTTTTACTTGAAAATTTAGAACCATATTTTCAGTTTCAATCAACAAATATCCCAACATTTGTATATTTACAATTAAGAAATCACGAGACAGTTAAAAAGATGTCATTCTCATTGACACTCTGATTTCATTTTAGTAAACAAATCCTGGGCAATAAGATATTTTAGGTAGCTGTGCTATTTGTAGGTAGGTCGCGGGAGTGGGGAACAAACAATATTTTACATTCAGGGGTAAGCCTAAGTTTTTAGGCTTGGTAGGAACATTGCCCTTCCCCAGATAATGGCACCAACTGATTTTGAGGTAATTAGATTTAAATCTCAAGATGGCATGAAGTTTAACTTCCTTTAAATATGTGTAACATTGTAAGGTATAGTTTATGTAACTCACAAGGAAAAATTCTGAATGCCATTAGTTTTAAGATTGGTCCATTTGATTATAAGTTCAAGGTCTCAGTGACATGTAAACTCATTGTCCCAAGGTTTTGAACATTTCCAGGGACATTGCTTAGATTAGTAATTAAGCATTAGTTTGGAGTTAATAAGGTCTAAGGTCACAATGGCTCAAGCATAATATCCTTCATCACCAGAAACCCATAAGTGGTTAGCTCAAGTTCATACAATTTTGTTGGAATTAAGATATTATTTATTTCCTTCTACAATATTGGCCATCTTCACACTTTCTCTTCCTGTTAAGACAGCATGGATTGAATAAAAAATAAAACTGTAAAGAAGTCACTGGTGTACAATTTTAAGGGTAAGAAAAAGAAGATATGCTGTTCATTTGAAAATATTTTATTGTTGTTTTACTGCCAATGTTCAAATACATGTTTCAATTTATCTGTGTTTTTGTTATTTTAACAACATTCCAAAATGTGTCCTGAAACGTGCTAAGAGAAGTGGAGTGTAAATTAACATTGAAAGGTATTTGTAAAACATTGTTACAATCTGTGATCTTATTTGAATTTTAAAAAAGTACATTTGACATCAGAAAATAGAGAAATAAAGAATTCCTGCAGAAAGCCCAAAATGACAAAATTGAAACTGTTGCAGGCTCTATGTGGTGAGCCTGTTGGAAAGTGCAAGTTACCTTCCATGCCCCCCTAGCACCAGCTTTAGCAGAATTCAACATTTGAACATAAAGTGGTGAAATTTATGGTTTTATGCCATACCGGTGTACATAATCCAGAGATTAGGATTTAATTCTTGGCAATCTTATTTTTAGTGGAATGCAACTGTTCATTGTTAACAGAATAATATTTACACAGGTTGCACTGTGTTTGTATTGGAATGAAATTCTCATTAGTACATTATTTTCCATAATGTTTTACAAAAGGCTAACATAAAGAACAGGTCTCAAGTGATCATTTTCAAAATTATAGGCATCAGAACTTTAACTTGGTCCTTTTTCCATTCTGGTTTGCTTATAAATTTGAAGTATAATTATACATTATCATATATCAAACGGTTGAGTCTGTTGATGTTAAATATGTATTGGCTTTTGCATGCAGTTGACTGGTTATTTAATCTGGTAACACCCTATACAGGTTATTACACCAGATTGCCAAATTATATTTCTTTTCATTATAATTTCCTAACACAGACACTTGGGTTTGGAGCTCAAAAACGCCTTTAAAATAAAAAAAAAACTTAATATAAGCCATTTTGAAAAAAAATTCATATTTCAACATCTATAATATAATACAGATTGAGCACCAAAGCCCAAGTGTCTGTGTTTCATAATATTTACATGACGCACACTACTGTATGCCATATTACTACGATGGAAGCTTGGCAATAGGTACGTATTATTTCTGGTACGAACCGATCATAAAGAACGGCTAATTTACCGATTTCAAATAACCACAGCAACCGTACGACATAGACATGACCAACGCTCCATCTTCTTGTTTACTGTAGATCTAGTGAGAGTCTCAGACTTTGTTCTTTTTCCGATTGTTTCGTAACGCGTTACGAGGATATAAGCTACATTCCTTAGCTAAGCTAATAAATAGCTTTTCATATCGTTTATTAATTACAAAACATCAAATAAAATTGCATCCGTCATTTATATTATATATCTCCTAATATCGGGTCGCAAGTTTGTTGACGTTTCTAATTATAGCGTTTCCGAACTTGTTTCTAATTATAGCATTTCCGAACTTTTCCGTATGCAAATGAGTTAATTCCGAATGAAACCGATCGGGCCCGAGAGCTTTTACAAATGGCGGGGATTTCAAAAACTGGCGATATTATATCCAGTTGCATCCGAGTGTTTCGGCGAAATAAGATTAAAATTGTATAGCAGTTCATCATTAATGAGGATATACTTATGATTTAGGTGATAATTTCTGAAAACTAAGTTGTAGGGTAAAATATCATCGTTGAACGGTATTATAACTTTAACTATGTTGCAACAAATGCTTCATTTAGATATTACAACGGAAACATGCTTGTCTGGAAAAGTGATAATATTCTCGGTTTCTGTAAAGTAATCCGTGCTAATCATGGTATGCGCATTAATAAATAGTGTGAAATGTAACGTTATCAGCTAGTACAGAAATAAAGCGACTGAAATAAAAAGAAATAGACACGATTTCGTACAAGGCCTTGCATTGGAATACGATTTTAAATGAGCTAACTATAATGACTGCTGTATAACGTATTTCAGTCACTAAAAATAAAATAAAAAAAAAATACTGTAAATATTTTATCGCACAAAACATGTAAATTATTAATTAACTTTTCTTCAAATTTATGTTCATTTTTTTCTCATCATTACTTTTCTTGAAATATTTTGACTCATCTGAAGGCATGCATCTTTCACAAAAAGTATGTGCAATAAATAATTATTGTGTTACTTAAAAAGTGTCTTTTGCTCTAAAATCGAAATTTTACGATTAATAAATCTGAATGACAATTACCTCAGTTTCTGCCACATTATCTTAAGGAAAAGAAATTATAAGTTATAGATAGTCTGTGCAATCTAAAATTATTTTTACAGAAATTGAAACTCAAATATCTCGGGAAATTTTCATTACACTTAAAAGGAGACACAGGCAAAATTTTCATTTCTTAGTTTCGATTTTTTTATTAATTTTTCTGTAAATGCCCGCAAAATGTATACATTAGACAGTCAAAGGAACAAAAATGTTCTCAATATAAAGAATAAAATGGTGGTTTCCTAACTTGACCCGCGTGGGTCAGGTTAAAGCGCTAGGATTTCACAATAGTTGTCACAGAGAACTCTGGAAACGTTAAAGAACATGTCAAATGAATGACTTAGACTTGTTTCAATCGTACAATATCCACAATATCTGTTATTGTAACATCAAGGGTTTGTTCAAGTAGCATGACTTGTTTTAAAAGTATTCAGTAATTCTTCTGGCGTCTAAATTTTGTTCAACATATATAGATATATTTACGCTTCAAACCCAAAATATATAGAATTTAAACAGAAATTCATGCTGAAATTATAAGAAACGTCATTTTAGCGTGATTTGAGTACATAAGATCATTTTAATATTTTTTTCATCTTTTGCCTGAATATCCCTTTATTAAGGCATTATAGTCTATATGTCTGTCTATAAAGCTTGTTCTTATACTTTGCCTAAATCAAATAATATTACAAGCATGCACAACATGGTAATTTCTTTCTTGAAAAGTTATATCCAAAAAGGCATTAAAGTGTCTAGGAGGAAAATTGTGTTTCTTACACAAATGATATTGTATTTTTTACAAATTTGCTGTCAAATGCGCTTATGAAAAAAAGTTGCTTAAGTTCAGCTTTACATGTTTTAGACATGGTTTCATTCTAATATTTGTTCAGATTCCTCTCTGGAATATTTCATCTCTTTGATTTTT